AATCCTGTTTTGATCCGTCGTGGAGGAAACCGGTATAGGGCTGCCATTTCACACATGGCTTTCCCCTTCCGGTAAAGAGCTGGATCTGAAGCCGTTTGCCATTTCAGACTGCGCCGCTTTTTCCCTGCACATTTTCGCCGTGTGGGTGATCTTCGGCTTTTTTTTTTAACGTTTGCTTTATAGCACTATAACAAAAAACTCTAGGCATTCCAATGGGGTTGATATAATGCTGTTCCATTATAGCACTATAACACTATAAAGCTAACGTTCCCCCCAAAAAAGCCAGAGATCGCCCGCATGGGCGAAAAATAGCGAGAAAAAGCGCATCGGAACCGGGAGAGGAAACTAGAGACTACTTGGAAGCGGTTGACAGGTAAAACGCTTCGGCCCCATTTCCTAAATGGCACAGAAGCATTTGTGTCTGAAATTACAAATATATTGGAGCCCCACCCTTCCTGAGCGAAGACAAAAATGTGTGAGCCAGAGGCTCAAAAACTGTGAGCTAGCTCACACTAACTCAGCTTAGAGGGAACACTGATACAGACGTGTGCTAGACGCCCACAGAACAATATAACATCAAATGAGACTATATTAAAGCCATAACATATTTAGTGTCTGTTAATAAAGACAAGCAACTCATTCCATCATAGAAAAAATACAAAGGTGCATTGTACTTTGGCAGCAGTATCGACACGTTCGGAAATAAGGGAGGAGACCTTGCCCAGATAGATTAACAGAAAAGTGATGAAAAGAAAAGCTGTGGTGGCTCAAGTGGTTAAGGCACTGAACTGCAGACCGGACGGTCGGTAGTTCAGCAGTTCGAGCCCCGAGTGCCGCGTGATGGAGTGAGCTCCCATCTGTGGCTCCTGCCAACCTAGCAGTTCTAAAGCAAGAAATTGCAAGTAGGTAAATAGGTACCGCTTCTGTGGAAAGGTAACAGCGTTCCATGCGCCTCAGCATCTAGTCATGCCGGCCACATTACCACGGAAACATCTTCGGACAACACTGGCTCTTCGGCTTGGAAACGGAGATGAGCACCACAACCCTAGAGTCGGATTCGACTGGCTTTCGAGCAAGGGAAACCTTTCCCTTTTTAAATCAACAAAAATGTCTACTTGAATGTAAGAATGAACGTAAGATTCCTATATAGGATTGGTTCCTCAGGAAAGACCAGAGGTCTGAAACACTTACATATCCGGAAAAAGTGTCGACTGAAAGAGAAACACAGACTTACTGAACTTTGAGCAGACCGCTTTTGTGAATTTGATTATGGACCCAAGACTGCTTGAGGGATATAGATTGTGAGAGACTTGAGCAGACCGCTGTGTGAATTTCTATCGACCTTTGTATTTTTTCTTTGATGGAATGAGTTGATTGTCTTTATTACCAGGCACTAAATATGTTATGACTTTAATATAGTCTCATTTGTTGTTATATTGTTCTGTGGGCATCTAGCACACGTCTGTATATATTGTTTTCATACCTGACCATAGTCTGAAATGGCACCATGTGAACTTCACATGGACATGAAGGGTCGAGGTGAGCTGGTACTGGAGCCAAGGGGGAGGGTGACGGGAGCCAGCAAAACGGAAGTTTGATGCAGCACCGTTTTTGTGAGGAAGTACCTAAGGTGTGGGTTTGTATAGTATAAAAAGGCCTTGTTGGTTCCAGCTGCGCTTCTTGCGATACTGAGGTGGTATCAGGTTAACTGAGGTATCGGAATGTTCTTCTGTCTCCTCCAGATCTTCTTGGAAACTGAACTGTTCTACAAAGGTATCCGCCCAGCCATCAACGTCGGCCTGTCCGTATCGCGTGTCGGTTCTGCTGCCCAGACGAGGGCCATGAAGCAGGTAGGCCGTAGTTGCAATTAGAGATGTAAAATTTCCAGAAATTTTGGAGCTCGGGAAAAAAACCCGTTTTTCCCCCTTTTTTGGGGGGGGAAAAACAGAAATTTTCAGAAAAATTGAAAAAAATGCTACATTAGCATTTCTTTTGTCTTTTCTAGTTTGAAAGTCATTCTGTTACTTTAGGAACATAAAATATGACTATGGACATTTTTACTTGGCATGAAATTATCACAACTAGCATATTAAAAATATAGTGTATCCAAACAATTATTTCAAACAGAATACCCACCCACATGCAAAAACAAAACTGAAACTTTTTAATTTTCTTCTGACAATCGCACCTCCTAAAGGAAGAAATTCATCTTGTTCTTGCATCATATATATATATATTAGAAATGATTTGGAAAATATTTGAACACCTGGTCTTAAAATATTTTATTCATCATGTTAAAATAAAACATTCCATAATCAATTTTTTTCCTTTTCTTTTTTCAATTTTTCCAATTTTCCAGAAAAAAACAAAAAGACTTAGGAAAAAAGACGGGGGGGGAAACTGTTTTTTCCCGAATTTTTCTGGGTTTTTTCCGGGCCTTCACATCTCTAGTTGCAATATCTCTCTCTTTAAAAATACTATAGCATCCTCTTTTTGTTCCGTTAGCACAGGGGGTCCCCAGCAATGCTCCCTCTAAGCCATGGAGTCCTGTGAGCAAAAATTCTACTTTGTGAGCGAGCCATTTGGCTCCTGCATCAATTAGTTTGCTCTGGAGCCATCCCTTCCTGAGCTAAGACAAAAATGTGTGGGCCAGAGGCTAAAAAGCTGTGAGCTACTCAGCTTAGAGGGAACACTGGTCCCCAGCCTTTCCCAGCCTGCATTCACCGCTGGAATTCTGACATAGCGTGCTGAGCACAGGCACAAAATGGCGGCCACAGGGGGCGGAGCCAGCCAGAAAATGGCCGCTGCAGCTTGCTTTCAGTCACACAGTGAAGATCCTTGTGCTCTGGTAGCAGCTGCCGTCTAGGCCATGTTTTTTAAAAATCTGCATAACCAGTCAACGGGAGAGCCAGTTTGGTGTAGTGGTTAACAGCGGCAGACTCTAATCTGAGAGAACCGGGTTCGGCTCTCCACTCCTCCACGTGCAGCTGCTGGTGTGACCTTGGGTCAGTCACAAGTTCTGTCAGAGCTGTTCTCTCAAGGGCAGTTTTCTTAGCGCTCTCTCAGCCCCACCTACCTCAGAGGGTGTCTGTTGTGGGGAGGGGAATGGAAGGAGATTGTAAGGCGCTCTGAGACTCCACTCTCTTCTTCAAATCTGCAGTGGCCAGTCGGAAACCTTGCTGGCGAAAAGCCCCACCCGGTTCGGCCCGCTTTCTAAAAATGCTTGGTGGGCACCATGTTGGGAACCCCCAAATTAGTGTGTAAAATTATGGCAATAGAGTACATCTGTGGTGGTTATATTTAAGCTCTAACAGGTTAGCAAGTGCAAAGGAGTTTGCATTGGAACTTTCTGTCGAGATGAACTTAAACATATTCTCTGAACTGAAGCAACCTGAAGCCTTCAACCCTGCAACATCCATTCCCTGAGTTCGGCGGAGGGGAAGCAGCACTCGGAATGCCCTTCTTTCTAATGTATTAAATTTTAGATTAGGGGTGTTGAACTCATTTTTTATGAGGGCCAGATCTGACATAAATGACACCTTGCTGGGCCGGGCCAGGTGTGTCATAAAATGTGACGCCAGGTAGCGGAGATATAAACTTTATAAAGGACACAAACACAAAGGGTTTTTTTTTAACTTAAAATAAAAACATGCTTAAAACATCAGCACTCTTGCAATATTTTGTTTATTTAACCATGCCTGATAACTGACACCTCTTGCTCTGAATTATTGCATCAGAATGTCTGTGCTGTTGCAATCTTGAGTGTGCTGTTCAGGTGTGTATCTGTAAGCTGCAAACCTACGATGGCGCAGCAGCAGAACTGGAAGAAGCACCAGAAGACGGCCAGTTCCACTGTGGGCCTGATAGAAGCCCTCCGGGGGCCTGATCCAGCCCCCAGGCCGCATGTTTGACACCCCTGTTTTAGATATTTACATCCTGCTTTCCCCCCCACTGGGAGCCAGAGTAGCTCATGCTGTTCTCCCCTCGTCTCTTCTTATCCTCACGACAGCCACCCTGGGCGGGAGGTCAGGCTAAGAGGGTGTGATGTGAAAGCCGCTGCCAGTCAGAGTAGGCAATACTGACCTTGATAGGCTAATGGTCTCTCTATAAGGCCGGCTTCCTGTGCCGTCCAACTGGGCCACACGTACTATTCAGGTTTGCTTGACTAGAAGCTGGGACGTAAGTCCTGTGCCCTAGCTGAGCCAGTTTGGTGTAGTGATGAGGAGCGCAGACTCTAATCTGGGAGAATCGGGTTTGATTCCCCACTCCTCCTCCACATGCAGCGGCTGGGATGACCTTGGGTCAGTCGCAAGTTCTCTCAGAGCTGTTCTCTCAAGGGCAGTCCTCGAAAGAGCTCTCTCAGCCCCGCCTACCTCACAGGGTGTCTGTTGTGAGGAGGGGAAGGGGAAGGGATTGTAAACCGCTCTGAGACTCTCCGAGTGAAGGGCGGGGTATAAATCCGATCTCTTCTTCTCATCTGTCCTTCTGCAGGTGGCTGGAACCATGAAGCTGGAACTGGCTCAGTACCGCGAAGTGGCCGCTTTCGCGCAGTTCGGCTCCGACCTGGACGCGGCCACTCAGCAGCTGCTCAACCGCGGTGTGCGTCTGACTGAGCTCCTCAAGCAAGGGCAGTACGGTAAGGGATTTGGCCGCCTTACCTCAGAGGGACGTTGAGCTCTTCATACCCACAAGTGATGGGTGACAGCTGGTAAAGGTAAAGGTTCCCCTTGCTCGAAAGCCAGTCGAGTCCGACTCTAGGGTTGCGGTGCTCATCTCCGTTTCAAAGCCGAAGAGCCAGCGCTGTCTGGAGATGTTTCCGTGGTCATGTGGCCGGCATGATTAAACACCAAGGCGCATGGAACGCTGTTACCTTCCCACCGAAGTGGCACCTATTTATCTACTTGCAATTTCTTGCTTTCGAACTGCTAGGTTGGCAGGAGCTGGAACTAGAGACGGGAGCTCACTCCGTCATGCGGCAACTCGGGTCTCGAACTGCTGAACTACCGACCTTCCACAGCCTGCAGTTCAGCGTCTTAACCACTTGAGCCACCGCTACTAAATTGCATTATCGAAAATGTAGTTCTCCCTGAGCCCTGCTTGCAGGGGGGCAGGGTTTGCTATAAATCAAATTTAGTGAATTAATTATTTTCTCTATGTGCGGCTCTCATTACACCGGGAGGGGGGGGCCTGGGGGAACCAGTGACATGTACCGTGTTTCCCCAAAAATAAGACACTGTCTTATATTTATTTTTTCTCAAGAAGACACACTAGGGCGTATACCGCAAATGCATAGAAATCCTGCTAGGGCTTATTTTGGGGGTAGGTCTTACTTTCGGGGAAACAGGGTAGTTAGGCCCTTCCTTTCTCCTTTCCAGTTGTTGGAGGACGCAGCGCTGAGAGGCACTTGACTTGCCATCGCCTGGGCCTGTGGGATATGGGGGAGGGCGGGGTGACGGTTGTGCGGCCTCCGCAGGCGGCTCCCGGGTTGGAGCAAGAGGCGGAGACGAGAGACCACCTTCCAGTTTCCTCAGAAGCTTTTGGCCGACTTCTCGTGTGGAGTGACGCTTCAGCTCAGTCACGGCTCCGCCACCCCTCGCGGTGCCCGGGTCGCTTCACTTAAGGCTCCCTCTCTCCCCAGTTCCCATGGCCATCGAAGAACAGGTCGCCGTCATCTATGCCGGAGTGCGGGGTTACCTGGACAAGCTGGAGCCCAGCAAGATCACCAAGTTCGAGAAGGCTTTCCTCGCCCACGTTCTGAGCCAGCATCAGGCCCTCCTCTCCACGATCAGGTACGGAGGTCGTTTTGTGCCGGGCCCGGAGCAGATCCGCTCCCTCCGGGACCCGGAGGCAGGGGAAAGGCCTCTTCAGATCAGTTTCTGGAGAGCACAGAGGCAGGATGATGCTGTTGCAGCCGTTCTCCTTGTGGGCTTTGCTGCCACAGGAAGCGGCAACGGCGGCCGCAAGCCTAGACCGCTTCGAGAGGGGGACTGGAGAGCCCAGGCCAGCCCGATCTCGGAAGCGAAGCACAGAATCATAGAAAGTTACGAGTCGGAAGGGACCTCGCGGGTCATCTGGTCCAACCCCCTGCACTCTGCAGGAGCACAGCCGAAAGACAGCCCGACAACCCAGTGTTCCCTCTAAGCTGAGTTGGTGTGAGCTAGCTCACAGTTTAATAGCCTCCGGCTCACACATTGTGTGTCTTCGCTCAGGAAGCATGGCCCCAGAGCAAGCTAATTCATGCAGGAGCCAAATCGCTCGCTCACAGCTTTAACGTCGAAAGCTCACAAAGTAGATTTTTTGCTCACAAGGCTCCACAGCTTAGAGAGAACATTGCCTACAACCAGGGGTCGTTTCGTAGAAAAAGAGCTAGGGGAACTCATTAGCATAACTCATTAGCATATGCCACACACCCTGACCTCACCGGAAGTGTGTCATAAGGCCACACACCCTGACATCACCAGAAGTGTGTCATAAGGCCACACACCCTGCCCCCAACGGTCCCGGCCACCGCTGCCAGCCTTGCAGCTCCACTGCCGAGCCCCATGAGGCCGGCAGG